CGTTGGTCGAGGAAAACTGAAAGAGCTTTTTACAGACAAATTGGAAGGTACTCCAGTTGGCATGGTCGGTTTTGAACCTAATTGAAGGTAGGAATTTTTCAGGTTTTATATGTGTGACAAGGTTAATAGTAATAGGGAAATGATCGCGCCGTGTAAGTTTCGGCCAATGGACCATTTACAGATTGGAACCAGGGTTGCGGACGCTATACTTAGATCGATGTTAGTAAAGGAGTTGTTGGTAGAATGGTGGGTGGCAGAGCCGTCATTTATAATGGCTAAATTTGTTTTGTCTTCAACATGATAACCTTTGGGGTTCCGGGAGCAGGACCCCCAAAGCCTACTCCAAGCGTTAAAGTCTCCGACAAAAACTATAGGTTCCTGAGCTGACTCTGTAATATTTAATAAATCTGTAGCTAATAGTCTTTGGTTGGGGGTATATAAAGGTTAAATATTATTATACTCGGGTGGGATAAAAGCTGCCCATGGAGCAAGTGGGTGAGATCAAATTGATAGTCTTGTGTGGGATGTTTATTGCCGTATAAGTATACTAGCGTCATGCTTCGCATGGAGAATGGAAGAATTGTTGAAAAAATAACCAATAAATGGTTTGGGGGTTACAACTTGGGTAGTATTAAATTGGAGATTAGTCTCTTTTAGGCATATAAAATCTGGATTGGCTTATTTAATTAATAATGAAAGTTCAATGTTATTGTTGAAGTATCCGTTTATGTTCCATTGTAGAATCTTAAGGGTCATTGGAAGAGATAAAGTGGGTATTATATGCAATGGAAAAAGTTTTGTTCAGTTTATATATCAGAGTCGTCCATAAGATACTATTTTTATATTTGTTGGTTTTAAGTTGTTTTAAAAATTGAGTAGTTTTATGCGAGAGCCCAAGTCTCTAGTAGTCATCATCGAATGTTCCGTTTATGTTATTTTTTTGCTGACTTTGCTGATAAGTCATAATATTGATAAGTCATGATAAGTTCTTCTGAGCAGTTAACGCATTTCGATTGTGTGCAGGTGTCAGGCGAATGGGGAGGTAAAGCGCGTGGTTAGTTTTTGCAGTGTTCAGCTGTGTGGCCAAGAAATGCACCTCATTGGGTTTGGTATGTACTCCCGTACCTTAACCGCATGCCATGCAATATCAATTTTGCTGGGAAGGTGGTGTAGATAAAAAGTGACCAGAATTACTCCAGAGGGTTTAGTGCCTGTGTCCGTGGTTTTGGTGAAATTAAAGATATCGCTGACTTTTTGGGATAGCAGCTCTTCTATGATTTCTTCATTGGGGATATCGGAGAGATATGGAGCATATATTGTGCCTTTAATGTGATGCCCGGTAACGAAGGTGAGTTGATGAACTTGTCAGCCTCGCTTTGATTTTTAATTAGCATCAGTAATAGTAAGTTGCCGTCACGGGAGCTGGTGACGGAGGTGGTGTTTTTGGATATTAGACGTAGTACGTTGTAAACGGTAATACAGGAGAAATCTGAGATTTTTTTCTCGATGTTTTTGGCTGCGGTTACAATGTACTTGGGGGTTTCGGGAGCTATTGTTGAAAGTTCGGGGAATGTCATGTCGACTTTTTGTCTCCTTTTTTCACGAGGAGGGGGGGGGGGGCTATCAGAGAGCAACGCAAACTGCTTGCCCCTCAGATTAATGGCTGAAGGGGAGACCCCATAGTTAGATGGATAAAGCTTTAGCTCTCGCGAAAGAGCTTGAGAAAAACAATCAATGATTGACCGCGTGGGTCGCAAAAGAAATACACCGATTAGACTCTGCTGATAAGAAAACTGACGTTTGCCCGCAACGAGAGCTAGCCGAAGACTGAGTGCCGCTTTAAGATGGTCAAGTCCAACTGTCTACTAAGCCCATTGCCGCTTCGCAACACCGTCGTGGTGGCGCCAACTTGGAGATGCGGAATCCGGAGTTGGGGCATTGCATCTCGGACATATAGAAGACAGATTCAAGCACTTCTAAACTTGGCCTTGCGCTGAATGACCGGTGCCGACTGGTACATCAGAAATTCTACCTTGCACAGAGACCTCAAAATGGACTTTATAGACAGCCAAGTCAAAGCGTTCGCCAACCGATACTACGAACGGTTGCAGCAACACTGAAACCGGGTAGCAACTGACCTCGCTGGGAGGTGCGTTGTCAGAGGACTCAAAAGAAGATCCTTTGAGGACCTCCACCAAATAGACGCAGCCTTACTCAAAGAAGACTCCTTTTACGTTTGCCCACGATATAGCCTAAGGACCCAACCCAGGCTTGGCGAAACAGTGTTGTAATAAAAAAGAAAGCTGTATTTGATTTAATACAATAAATATAAAAACATTATTTTTTTGACAACTAAAGACTTATTATCAGACCACGATTCCCAATTTTACACAAATTTGGATATAGTACAAGCAAAGACAATATAAACACTAAGATGAGTAACGCCATACAATAAAATGCTACTATGCAGCTTGATTTTTTGAAAATTGAGAACGAAAACGAAATCTGTAGCATTGCGCTCTCACAGCCGAGAGAACGAAAAAGCTAAAAGTAGTATTTGCTCTCAGCTTTGGCAAAGTCTCTGGCTGGCAAAGAAACAATTTTCTTAGTTTTTTAGCGCAGATCACGACCTACCCAAAATTTCTGTTGATATATGAATGCATTTTGTGTACTCCATACAAAAAAAATTTTTATTTTTAAGTCGATGCAAATATTTATGTAATTTTTTATTTTTGAAATTATTAATTAAATTATTTTTTTTTCAAAGATACATTAAATTATTATTTTTTTTTTTTTATTTTATTATTTTTGTTGTTCGAATTATTAAGAACAAAGTACGCAGAGAGCACCGCGAGGAGACCATTATAAATATAATGGGGTCATTACAAAATATGACCTTCGGGTATTTTCTGCGGAGCCAACCTCAGTACACAAAATGCATTCATATATCAACACAAATTTGGGATAGGTCATGATCTGCGCTAGAAAACTAACAAAATTAATTTCTTGCCAGCTAATAACAAGAGCAGTGAATAACAACACATACATACATACTTTAAAGATCTTATGCATGTATAATTCACGCATACAACGAAAGGTGCACGCATGCTATTGGCTGAGACAAGAACTTTTCTCGAGCATACACTGTCCAAAGAGAAAAGTGAAATCAATCTATGTGTGCTATTTTCTTAACATAGTTATTGCGCAAGAAGCGCCTTGTGTAAAAATTATATAAGTTCTTAAACTTTCCTGTAGAATTAATCGTTAATATCTAGGGTAATATATCATTTAAATAAAGCATGCATTTCATTAATAAAGCACAATCACTTTGCGTCGATCGTTAGTTCTAAGCTTTTTCGCTCAATGTACTTCGATAACGAAGCGACGCAAAGCAGCATCGACCAGCTTTGCTGAAGGCAGGCTGGCGACTAACTTTGTAGCTCGTGTCAGCATCAGCAAGCCGTGACTTCGGCATTCGTTCGTCTGGTCTTTGGAGAACGAACAACCAGTCGGCAGGCATGCCGTACGAAGCCTCAAAGGCCAGATGAAAGGCCAGGCTAGAAATTTTGCGTCGCATTCAAATGTATGGGCGTTACTCATCTTAGTGTTTATATTGTCTTTGGTAAAAGCATACGTTGTGAACGGAATTGTTCGCTAACTCCCAATATAAGCTTAGACACCATATCGTTCGGAAGAAGTTACAAAGGCCGATCTGGGAACGACGGTTCCTTTTAGAGGTGGGTGATCCGTAACATTAGGTTAAAACACTTATCACCGCAATATTTGTAAGTACTTTTATACTTGCCACTGACACTTTAAAACTTCTCGAGAAATATGGGTACAAAAGACACACGACTAATAAGGCATCATACAAAACTTACGCTGATGATCAGAAATACCTTAGAGTTCTTTACCAAGAAACACACGAAACAGACCCTAACCACGGACTGGTCATTTTAGGAGTTCGTCACCGACATGCCCGTAGTAAATCTACTGGGTACTACTCTGAAAGTAATAGCAGGATTTACCGATCTTGGTTATTGTGAGCAAATTAATTTCAAACAGGGTAGGTATATGGTAAAATAGTAATAAATACAAAAGTACAGGTTCAGCTTAACGAGATCACATAGTCTTTATATGCCATTGCCAAAGCGGACAGTTTGGTCACGGAACAGTTGCATGAAACAATTTTAGCGATAAACAGTATAGTAATAACAGTATTAGAAAATTAAATATTTGCAATAACTTTGTCGAAAGTCAACCTGGTCAGCCCTACCAAACCCAAATGAGTTTGTAAAAAAATTAAAGTTTAACTAGACCAGCGTAATAGGAAGATTCCAGATTCTAAGGACGGTATCACGGTCGCTGTATGTGGACAGTTTTCGCTGTCAACGAATGCCTTCGCAGATAATCGCAGACACCAACTTCCGCACAATAACTTATATCCGAAACAAAATAAGAAAATTTGGACACGGCCACTGTGGACGACGAAAGAATGATTATGGGTTCGGCCAGCGAATCGCATGGACCTATTTGCTAACTTTCGAAGACAAAGTCTCCGTGAACAATCGGAGGTACATTATCAACTTCGAACACTGAAATAAAACCTGTGGTATCCGCTATGGCTTAAGTTATTGTTACGAACGAATCAGTCAGAGCATGAAAACTCTGCAACACATTAGTCACTTACAAAATAAAATTATATATATGTATATATATGTATATATATATGTATATATATGTATATATATTAAGGTTTAACAAAGTGTATGTACTAGCTAGTATAAATTTTTAGTGAGGCGTTTCGAGTGCTTAGAACATTAGTATTTGAAAAAAATTTAATAAGTCAATAAATAACAAATACAGAAAAGTAAATTAACTTTTAAACTGATCTGAATATTTAATGTCAAAAACAAAATAATTGAAGTCATCTCTATATCTAAATCTAAAAAACACAGAATAGCAAATGAGATTTTAAAGTGATCTATTTACGTTTTCAGGACTCGACGAAGGCACTGCTCGTGAAAACGATGATTACGCTTATCTGGACATCTGCCATCCAAGCTTGGGGCACGGCGTCAGCACACCAGCTGCACCGCATAAGAGTGGTCCAAACCAAGGCGGCACGAAAGGTTGCCGGCCTGCCATGGTACGTGACAACCGACGCCATCGAACGCGATCTCCGCCTAAAAAGATCGGAGATCAATTAAGCTCTTTCAGCAGCCGATACGCTGACAAGCTGCGACAGCACCCTAAAGCGGCCGCCAGGGTCCTGGCTGACCCCACCACAGTCAGGCGCCTCCAAAGGCTACACCATGACGACCAACCTACAAGACATTCCTTAAACATCATCATTGTAAATAACATCCCTGTAAAGATCATACAAGTTACCACTAACTAGTTCGCCTATGAAGTTAAATTAACACTTCACTTATTTTCGATTTTTTTAACGAAAACTAATTACAATTAGAAAGAAACATTATCCGACTTAAAATGTATTTTCTATCCTTTAAACGTCCATTCTAACAATCCTATAGCTTTTGACTATTTGATGCCGGCCAAGTTTTTAACACATATACCACGATATATAATGTCTTACTTCATTTCAGTAAAGTATTCACCAAAATTATTTGGATTCTTTAACCACAAAAATTATCAATTAAGACCCCTAAAGTGGAAAAAACACAATTAGACACAATTATTCCCTGATCCTTATTTTACCAAAAACACAAGCATGAGCGAGTATTCGCTTTATCCAAAACAGAAAGTTTACAATTGCACTTGCGATTCTATTTAAATAATTCAAACTAACTCGAATACATGTGAATATATTTGGAATAGTAAATTATGATGATTGCTACTTATAAATGAAACGATCGAAAAGAGGAGACTGGGCAAAAATTATTAAGTCGAGTGTGTGTATTCCAGTGACGTACAGATGCTGTGTCTGAACAAAATTACGACCACAATCCGTCTAATCGTCTTTAAATCACACTGCCACAGCTTTTTACATCCGAGTATATAAGAAAATCATTGACTTTTGAGCTGTTTACCTGCTTGCACATTTTTGCGAATCAACGAACTCCCATCTTTGCCTTAATACCATGTCATACCCATATAATAATACTTATTTAAGTTATATAATTGCTCCTCGTATTTCCCATTTCCCTCTCCTTTTTGCTATAAGCTTTTTAAAATCTTCATACTCTCATGGGCCTGACAACATTCCTAATTATCTACGCAGTTCCCTTGTTCGTTCATTGCTTAAGCTTTTAATATATTCCTGGAAACATCTGTTTTCCATCTTTGAGGAAAGAAGCAGAATAAATAGCTTCTCTCTGCTCATAATATATAAAATATAAATCCTATCAAAGTCGGAACTTAGCTAGAAGTTGTGTTTATGTACAAGCTATTGCTATTTTTTAATTTACATTTTACTTATTGTACATCATTGAAATGTATGCCTTAGTATTTTTGACAAGTTTTTCCAGAGTATTCGTAGGCTTGTGAGCTACTTTTAATTTTTGTTTGATGTAGCAGTCTGAGATCGTGAAGCCTTCTGATGATCGTGGTACATATGTTAGTGATTTGTTTAATTTGATAGGTTCTGTTGGCATTTGTGTTCTGATTTGTTGCCTTTTGTTCTAACTACACTCTATAGGAAATCATTTATGTTCCATAATTTTGTGCCTAATTTCATTGCGGTATATTGTGCCCGATAAGTTGATTATTCTTCTTAACAATTTAGTGCTCTATTATCATACTTCTTGGGTGGCTCCAGTAAAAGTTTAATTTTCTTCCAGTGCTTTTGGTTTCTTATACCACTTCATTTTGAGTGAAACTCGTGAGGAACCTTGACATGCGCATCACTCAGAAACATTCGCCTCATATATTCTAGGTCATTTTTAGCGTTTACGAAGCTTGTTGCATTGTCAGACCAGGTCCTTAAAGGTTGACAGCAGGATGATCCGTTTTATGGCATTAAGGAATTATGCTTTAGCATAAAAGTATATTAAGGCTGATGTAGCAACTTACTGGACGGACATGGCTAAATCGACTTGGCTATTGATGTTGATTACGAATATATATAGTTTATGGGGTCGGAGATGCTTCCTTCTGCATGTTACATACATTTACATTTGCAAATAAGCATTTTACCCTTTTTACCTATATTTTGGGGTTCAGGTTATAAAAACTTTAGCCAAATTGGACCGATACGTCCCATCGTTCCCATTTTGAATTTGTTTATTAATAAAGTTAAGAAATGTATGCTGGATATATAGAGTGAGTGATTAGTAGATAGGGTAAAAAGATAGTGATGGAAATTCCCGACCCGAGGCGGGAAATTTATAGCCTGTCCGGCAAGCTATGCGCCCACTCTTAGCTAGGAATGATTGTGCATAAATAAGGAGAAATAAGGAGCGATAATTTCTGGTATATCTAGTCGGAACTGGGAATTGAGGAAGCCTTTCCAAAAAAAAATGTATATCACGAACAACTTATGTGGAAAGACAACACCGAGGGTTGTCCTACGGTTGGTTAACGACGGAAGTTCACGACGAAGAAGTCTGGTGGAGTGGGAGGGCAACCAAAAACTGGGGTCCCAATTTAAACCTCGTAAGACAAATAACAGAAATTGCCTTTGAACTGAATTAATAAGATCCTGCCTATTGTTTACTGCGAAGACCAGATGCAAGAGCAGTCTTAAAGAATACGGCGAAAAAGAGATTTGTCAATGTGCTTGGTTGTAAAAGAATCGTTTAGCTCTGTTGACCAACGTTTAATCAAGCCAAATAGCTATATAAGAAAGAAGCAGATTTTAGAATCAAAAAACACGCCTAGATCCTTACGTTACAATGGAGTATTGTCGATTCTATAACTGACAAGATAAGGCGTAATATGATTCAAGGTTATATACATACATTTTGAAAAATTTATATGCAATGGATTGGTTGACCGCCATCTTGTAGACTGAGAGAATTTGTCTATCATAGAATAAGCTTTACATCGTCCGCATACATAAGTACACGGGCACAAGATATAACCGAAAGGTTATAAAAAAATAAAGAATAAAGGTCCAAGATGACTAACTTGAGGAACACTAGAATAAATGTAAGCCTGTTTAGAGGTAGTCAGCCTCAATATTACTCTTTGGGTTCCACCTTTTAAGAACTAATCCAAAACAAATCAGTCAAGTTTAAGAAGTAAAACATCGTGGACAGAGTCAAACGCCTTACAGTGTAAATGATCTCAGTTTGCATTTTAGAAACGAAAGGAAGGAATAATTTACCAAGGAAGAAAATTCAAAGAGGTTGGTCGTAGTTGACCGATTGTTTACGCATGTATTCGTATTTGAACAGGGAAGACAAATGATTTGTAGAAATGCTGCAAATTCGAAGTTATTATTTTTTTCAAATAATTTAAGGACAGTTTTGCAATGCCCCTGTAATTTTTTATATCAGACTTTCCACCTTTCTTGTCGAGAGGAATAATATAAGGTTCTTTCTAAGGATATGGAGAGAAATAATAGGAGAAACTATAAAGCTGGATGAAATAATATTATGAGGAGTAGAATATTTAGTTGGTTAATTATTTTTATACCCTGAACCCATTAAAAATGGGTATAAGGGTACATTGTATTTGTGCGAAATGCAAATGTATGTAACAGGCAGAAGGAAGCATCTCCGACCCCATAAAGTATATATATTCTTGATCAGCATCAATAGCCGAGTCGATCTAGCCATGTCCGTCTGTCTGTCCGTCCGTCTGTCCGTCCGACCGTCCGTCCGTCCATCCGTATGTATGAACGCAAGGATCTCAGAACCTATAAGAGCTTGAGACTTGCAATTTTAGATGTAGGTGCTCCTAGTGCCTGCGCAGATCGAGTTTGTTTCTGATAATCGATAACTTACTCCGTTTCCAAGCAATCGATATCGATATTCTGTTTTTGGGCAATTTTGGTTAATAATAAGAGCTAGAGTCACCAAACTTGACACATAGCTTCTAAAATAGAATATATACATATATGTATTTGATATTGGAAGAAGAGGGTTCAGGGTATCCCCTAGTCGGGAGCTCCCGACTGTTTTTAATATATAAGTAAATATGAGGCCAATTTTAAAACAAGTAAGAGGTTCTAGTCGGGAGCTCCCGACTAGGGAATGCCCTGAACCGTCTTATTCCAACACAAAATAAATTAAATAAAAAAAGTTCCCTTGGCAGGGTTCGAACTTGCAACTGACCGCATTACTTGGAAAAAGAAAAAAATATTTTCTCCGGTAGGGCTCGAACTCGCGACAGACCGCACCATTTGCTATGTCTCTACTCAGCAGCCACACCAATAATTAAGGACATGATAAAAAATGAACTAAAATAGCATTAGAGAAAAATGTCGCAATTACCATGCTGTTAGGATGTGTGTGTGTATATGTATACAGAAATTCTTAAAGCTGCTGCCCCATTCAATTGCGCAGTTGCATATAACTTTGTTTTTTTCTTAACCGATTTTTATGAAATTTTCTACAGTATATCTTATTGTACCTTAGAATATTTATGTATTCTGAAAAAGTCAATTGCATTTAAATTGTGCCTTAAATTGGTTGGCAATAAAAGTTGGGTTATTAACATGATTTATAGGTGTTGGGTGGTAGCGGGGAGGTGGGGATAGGTATAAAATGAAAGATAATTGACATATATATAATATTCTAGAAGTAATATATCATGTTTGGTGGCTGTAGCTCTTATTATTTACCCAATTTTCTCAAAAAATAGGAAGTCGATATCGATTTTTATCGATTGATTGGAAACGGAGTAAGTCATCGACTATCGGAAACAAACTTGATCTGTGCAGGCAGTAGGAGCACCTACATCTAAAATTTCTCTAGCTCTAAGAGGTTTTGAGATCCTTGCGTTCATACATACGGACGGACGGACAGACAGACGGACATGGCTTGATCGACTCGGCTATTGATGCTGAATCTACATACTTTATGGGGTCGGAGATGCTTCCTTCTGCCTGTTACATACATTTGGATTTTGCACAAATACAATATACCCATTTTTAATGGGTTCAGGGTATAACAAGGTAATAAACTGGTTTAACAGGTATTGTATTTATTATAACAAAACAAATGTTGATCAAGGGTCAGACAAGTTAATAAAGAGCGGTGATCAGACTAGCACCGGGTAAATATATATGGACACAATTGTTATGCATCGATAAAGTTATTGTTTGTGAAATGGCCCATAACATTGTCTTTCAAACTGAGACACGAAAATGGCGATTTTGCAAATTATGTAAATCTTCCGAAGAGATTATAATAGCTTTAGTGACTTTAAAAAATCGATTTCACTGTTCTTCCGACCCGACACTAAAGAACGTTTAATTTCTATTTTCAATTTCCCTTCTTCAAGAGAGCAGAGAAAAACTGCATTCTTATGGTCCAAGGTAAAAATGTAGGGACTCTAAATTAACGTACTTGAACCAAATTTAGTTGAATAATAGTAAAAATAAAACTTTTTTACATTTTTTGAACAAAATTGTTTTCCCCTATATGTTTTTCTGTATTTATATAATAGGTAGGAACATGTAGTAGCTTACCTGAAAAAAATGTTGGCTTTCTACATTGTTTGAAAGAAACTCTTGAGCAAGTGGCTCATTTCGGCAATATATCACATGCTTATCAAAATCACGCTCGAGTCTTAAAAATGTTTTTGCTATCATTTCAGGTTGGTGCCTATAATTTTTAAGGCCTTCTTTTAGAACCCTGAAATACAATTAAAATTAAACAATCAATTGTTAGAAAAGTGTACTTTTATAGCATACATATTGTGAAACTCCGCAATTTGCACAATGTTACAAAAGATAATATCTTTATTGTCCCGTATAGACCTTGGAGTTGTAGGCTTATCTATGGATTTTATATACTTATCGACTACATATTGTAAATCTCTTGAGAATTCCTCTTCAGTTTCAATAAGCTCCCCAACGATGGTTCTGGAAATATTCCAAAAAATTGAAATTGTTTTATTTATATTATATGTTAATGCTTTGAATGTGTGTAAATTCAAAATTTTATACTGAACCCATTGAAATAATAAACAAGATAGAAGGGCTATCTTCGGCACGACAAAAATTTAATAGCCTTGCGTTGCCCATATTTAAGAAGCAGAGGCAAGATAGTTAATGCCGAGCATGGTTAAGATATCTTGAAAAAAAAAGGCTTTTAATACAAGAACATCAATTTCGACTGATCGTTCCTATGGCAGCTATATGATATAGTGATCCAATGTCGATAGAATTTTGCGTATATGAGATGCATAGGTGAACTAATAAATGCCAAGTTTTGTCAAAATATCGTGAAAACCAAAAAAGTTTTTCATACAAGAAATTAGTTTTCGACCGAGCGTTCCTATGGCAGCTATATGATGATGTGGTCCGATCCAGCTGGTTTCGACATATGTATTGCATGCAACACAAAGAGGCTAGCGGACAGACGGACATGGTTATATTGACTCGGCTGTTGGTACTAATCACAAGTAAATATACCTTATAGTGTCGGAAATGTCTCCTTCTATGCGTTACACATTTCGAGACAAAATTATAATACCCTCTGCAAAGGTATAAAGAGGATATATTAGTTATGTGCAAATAAATATTAAAAGTAGAAGGAAAAATCATCCACACTACAAAGTATATGTACTGTTAATCAGCAACAATATGTTTGTCTGTCAGCCTTTTTGTATGAGCTGATCAGATCAGAAACTAGAGGTACTAATAGATAACTTTGCTCGAGTCCAAGCAATCAATAAAATTGACATTAAGATCCTGATTTTTGAGCATAGTTAGGTTATGAGCTTAAGTCACCGAGTTTGACATTTAGTCTCTAATAAAAAATATTCGGATTAATTATTTTTCATTATTTGGATACTGGTCGCTCAAGATGGATGAGTCTTAGTCGAAAAAAGTTTCCCAAAACCTAGGACTCATTACCTAAATGCAGTAAGCCATGTTTTCGCAAAATACACCTCTCTCTTTTATAAAAAGAGAATAACTGAAGTTTTGGAAATAAGCACGTATGTTAATATCTGTGAGAAAATTAAGCTTAGAATATGTTAACACTTTCCCCTCTTGAAATCTAATGAATACTGTTTCAGCGACTTTGAAAGACTGCTTATGCTTCAATGCAACAGAACAGTTTTAACAAATAGCTACATATATTTAATTTAAGAAAAGCGAATTTAATTACGTTGATAAGGTTGCAGAAAATGTTCCTTCATCGATTAAATTAATTTAAGTTAATTTGAAAATTGTAGTAACTAGACTCAAGAATAGGTCGTACAAGAAATTTAAAAAGGGTCATTGTGGTCTATAGATCATCCAACTCCTTCCACTATCGCTGGATAAAACAAAAAACAGTTCTGCCCTGATAAAGAATGACATCTAGATACTAAATTTCCTTACTGGTACTTTTGACAAGATCTGCCGATAAGCTGCTTATATAGAAAGTCATTACCTTGCATATATAACAGTTTAGGTTGAAAAGGTTAACTTAACACAGAGATTAATAGACATCCATGCTGACTTATAATAGATAATATTTTTATATAATGATGGTTTTGGCGACCTTTTCATGGAATAATTGTTGAGTTGGATGGCTCGAGGTCCGGGCTTGTTTTAATAAAACAATGAAACAATTTTATAGATATTTGCTTCCAATTTATTTTGGTTGCGCATCGGCAAGCCGTCTACAGCGCAACTATTTTACACGTCTGCGCTTTATGACGTGGAGATTTAAATCTCCTTGACTAAACTATTATAATATTGATGAACAGAGTAATAGGGAACCCCGAAGTAATTAGAATGTATTTAGAATTTGAATTTATAATAAGAACCTTTTTAGTTCGGTCTCTCAAATATGATAAGGAGATCCAGTTGAAAAGATTGTCTGGGAAGCCATAAGGTACAATTTGTGAAGTAGTAAGAAAAACGTCAGTGACCATTAATTATTAGGGAAATAATCTCGAAAAAGGTGAATGTGTGTAGATCGACTCCTCAAAAATCAATGCTGGGAAGGTGAAATAATGTAATGCGTAAGGTAACACCAATAATGGTATGCGTAAATTTTAAGGTAGCTGTTTCACAAATTTTCAAAAAATCGTTTTGATATATTGCGTAAATAAGTTTGCATCAGCGGGAGCAATCATCTTTCTTAAATTTCATATTTGAATCTTATAATCAAAAAGGGCGAGGACAGGGTATGATTAATTAATTGAATAGCAATGATGTATCAAGAATGATACAGCGCTTATAAAATCTGTCTTACGAAAACAACGGATTCGATCTGCTGGTTTTAATTTCTTGATATGCACCCAGACTGCTAGTTTAATGACGTAACCCAAAGTAGGATAAAATGGGCTTTCAGGACGTAAAACCTGGACAAGCCTGAGCAGCACACTGTCGAATGAATCCAACATAAAAACAAGTAAGAGTTTCTAGTCGGGAGCTCCCGACTAGGGGATACCCTGAACCCTCTTCCTTCAACATCAAATGCATATATATATTTTATTTAAGAAGCTATATATCAAGTTTGGTGACTCTAGCTCTTATTATTTACTAAAATTGCCCAAAAAACAGGATATCGATATCGATATTTATCGATTGCTTGGAAACGGAGTAAGTTATCGGTTATCGGAAATAAACTCGATCTGCGCGGGAACTAGGAGCACCTACATCTAAAATTTCAGGGTATAACGAGTAAGAGTTTCTAGTCGGGAGCCGCCCGTCCGTCTGTCCGCCTGTCCGTATGTATGAACGCAAGAATCTCAGAACCTATTAGAGCTAGAGACTTGCAATTTTAGAGGTAGGTGCTCCTAGTGCCTGCGCAGATCTAGTTTCCAAGCAATCGATAAAAATCGATATCGATATCCTGTTTTTGTTCAATTTTGACATATAGCTTCTAAAATAGAATATATATATGCATTTGATGTTGGAAGAATAGGGTTCAGGATATCCCCTAGTCGGGAGCTCCCGACTAGAACCTCCTACTTGTTTTTTTTAGCAGCTTTGGTAAATATGAAGTTCTAGAGTCACCAAACTTGTTATGGTGCTTCTAGAATATCATAAATATATATCAAGTGTCTTTATACATATCGCTACCTCCCCGCTAACACCCTAGAGCTATAAATCAAGTCAATAACCCAACTTGCGGGTAGAATTTTCAAAATTGTAGAAATATAAATTCATTAAGTTTCTATGTAAGGCATTGAAAATAAGTTTAAGGTCCATCTGACGAAACTTATCAAATCGCACTTATCATATTGACCTCTATTTTCTACCCAGTCGGTAGCTCCCGACTAGAACCTCTTACTTGTTATGGGTATATTAGTGTATATTCCAGTCGGTGACTCACAAATAGAACCCTCTAACTTATTCTTACGATAAGCTCTTGTTTATTAAAAACGAGAAAGAAAGGCTATATTCGGCACGTCGAAGATCTAATACCCTTACAGACCCAACCTTTCTAAAATGCTTTTGCCCGTATCTAAGAAGCACAGGGAAAATAGTTAATGCCGAGTTTGGGCAAGATACCTTGATCAACAAAAAAGGTTTTTAATCAAAAAGCTAGTTTTCGATCGATTGTTCTTATGGCAGATATATGATATAGTAATCCGAGATAAATAAGATTTGACAAAAATGAAGGGAGCATAGTGATTTCCTTAAAAGCCTTGTTTAACCAAAATATCTTGAATGACATAAGCGTTTTCAATACAACAACTTAATTTTCGACCGATCGTTCCTATGGCAGCTATATGATATGCTGGTCCGATCCAGGATCCTGGTTTTGACATATGTATGTGCTGCGTGCAACAGAAAGAGGGACTTCTGCAAAGTTTCATTAAGATAGCTTTAAAACTGAAAGACTAGTTTACATAGAAACAGACAGACGGACATGGCTATATGGACTCGGCTGTTGATGCTGATAAAGAATATATATACTTTATGGGGTCGGAGGTGTCTCCTTCTATGCGTTACACATTTCACGACAAAATTATAATACCCTCTGCAAGGGTATAGAAACTCTGTTACCGACTCCAATTCTAGCATTTTTAAAATCAAATTTTCAAACAAGAACTTAGCTTATGACTGATCGTATCTATGTGAACTGTTGAAATATTGTCTATATCAATGAAACAATTTAATACATATCGATGATTCGATATCTGAATACAACAGCTAAAGGCAAAATCCGTATTTTAATATTGCGAACAAACTACGAAACAGAGCAGGCGTGTTTTTCTCCACACCAACCCTACCTTTGTCTGTGTGTTGATTGGGATATGTCCCCTCAACCTCAACTATATGATATAGGGATAAGATATTATCTAGATTTGCGTATGTATAAGCAGCTTCACTCGAATCAAACTGTTACAGAATGCTTACCTTTTTCTAAATTCCAAGTCTGCAGCATTTGCGTTTGTATCTAAGGCTAACGAGTTTGTATTAACTTCTAATATTTCCATTGGAACCAAGCCTTCTTTCACCGAATTTACTCCATCAAATACTCTGATAAAGCATCTGAAAAAAAAATTAAATAAAATTTGAATACAATAAAGACACTGATTCCGATGTCTGAAGTCGTGATGCAATGAGCTGCAGCCCACCTCCCACCCAACCGACCGAAGGGGTCAGTTGTGAAATGACACGAGTCGCGAAAGACCAACTACTTGCTAAATAGTTTAGTTGAATGTGGCAACGGGTCATAATAGAAATAGATCCAAAACCCCCGACTAGGGGATACCCTGATCCCTCTTCTTCCAACATAAATATATGTATATTCTATTTTAGAAGCTATATGTCAAGTTTGGTGACTTTAGCTCTTATTATATATATTATACCTCTTTATTATTGTGAGGTATAATAAACGATTTTTTCCGACATTTTAAATTCTTATAATACCTCGACTTCACATTTTAATTTCGTTAGTTCCCTTGAGGACCAGGGAGGTTCCAAGCTCCAGACCTCGCTAATCAAGAACGACGCAGATATCAAAGAGCGAGTCCAAGGTATCATAAAACAGTGTAATACCAATATCCTTACGAAAACTACTAATTTTGATTCCTCAAGAGGCACTCTGTCTGGTAGATAAAGGATAATATCCAAAGTTGAATGAAAAGGGACTGAAAAGGGCGACTGCTGTTTTAATTGCAGGAAGGACATTTAGTATAGACCAACAATAAACTCATGGGCAACAGAAAGCCTAAGTCCTTTGGCGATGGCAAATCAACATCTGGGAGATTAAAGTCCCCAAGAACGACCAGAAGATGCCTGTCAGAAAGTAGGGAGAAAATTGATTTAATGGCGTCAAGATAGCTTTGGTAAACATATGTGTAAGCCGACACTCTAGATAGTAGGGAAATATAGGAACATGAAATAAAGATACAGAAACTTCCAATTACAATGCTCAAGGCAGATCCTTCTGAAAATTGAAATGAAAATTGTAGGCAAGAGAATCTAAGAAGAAGCTAAGAAGTTAAGATTTGAGACCTCTATGGGTCAGATAAGCAAGCTTAAGAGAATAATTTAGTTTATTGACGCACAACTAGATAGAGGTAGAGGAGATGGTAATAAGCACAGGTCTCAAGCATTCTCACGCGGTAAAACAAGCCAAGAAGGCAAACAAAATTAATAAATATTTTTAGCTAGAGATTATTAATATTCCGGTGTTATTTAAAACAAGTAAGAGTTTCTAGTCGGGAGCTCCCGACTAGGGGATACCCTGAACTCTCTTCTTCCAACATCAAATGCATATATATATTCTATTTTAGAAGCTATATGTCTAGCTCTTATTACTTACCAAAATTGCCAAAAAAAACAGTATATCGATATTTTTCGATTTATATCGATTGTTTGGAAACGGAGTAAGTTATCGATTATCGGAAATAAACTCGATCTGCGCGGGAACTAGGTGCACCTACATCTAAGATTTCAAGTCTCTAACTCTTATAGGTTCTAAGATCCTTGCGTTCATACATACGGACGGACGGACGGACGGACGGATAGACGGACGGACATGGCTAGATCGACTCGGCTATTGATGCTGATCAAGAATATATATACTTTATGGGGTCGGAGATGCTTCCTTCTGCCTGTTACATACATTTGGATTTCGCACAAATACAATATACCCTTATACCCATTTTTAATGGGTTCAGGGTATAAAAACAACAAAACGGAGCGCACAAAAAAGACATTTGTTTGTTTCAAACGAGGAGAACGATTAAACCTTACAACCTTATATGTTACAACAGTACAACCTTATATGTTAAAAATATTGTTATTATCGCCATCTTCGATCGACTGACCAAATATTACCCTTGTTTTATCTCCTGTAATAGTCCCATTAGTTTCCGTGCCTGAACCTGTCCCAGTTAGCCACACTGCCTCAGAGCCGTCAGCTGGCCGCAAAGGTAGACCTGCGAGCAATCTTGCCCAGATTGTTAAAAACAATCATTGTGCCTCTTTGGCTTCACCAAATCCTGTATTGCCTGCAGCCCCATCACCCCCACCAGCCTCTATTCATTATCAGAATGTCAGAGGTCTTATTTCCAAACTTAAAAATCTTTTCATGGCCAGCATTTCAACTTTTGAGGAGAGGTATCCCAATCAACGCACAGATTAGTAATCCTTTATCTCTGCCTGAGGATGTATATGATCCTACTTTAGGGATTGCAATGTTCAATTGTAATCCTCCCATTTCATGCTCATTAGCCAATAAGCCCCGCTGTTGCTTTCGCAAAGGATATTATTCAATCCTGAATCAGCTTATTTATGCAAACGATTGGTCAGTCCTTTTTTTATAACACCCTAAACTCCCTCCCCATGTTTATTCCCAAGTCAATTCCTTCGACTACTTCTTCATAACCACCCCGGTTTGCTCGCAGATTGTCACATTTAAAAAATTTTAGGCCTTAATATTTTAAAAAGTCTTAAAAGTATGGTTCGTGTACAGACTTGGCTAAATATTCCATAGCCAAATCGAACTTTTTCTTCTGAATTCTCAATGCTATGAGAATTATCTAATAGGCAAAAGGCAATATGCCCAAAATACGAGACAGTTTTACAATTTTGTAAACTTGAATCGTAAATCTTCAAGTTTGCCATCTTCTTTTTCTCGCGGTATGGATAAAGTTAGCAATGACTATGTTTTTGTAACCTCTTTGCTAATTATTTTCAATCAACTTAATTCTTAGTCAGTCCGTATAATAATTCTTATCCTTACGTCCTCTAGTTCTATACCGCCTCCTATTATTTCCCATTCCTTTCCTCTTTAAGCTATAAATTCTTTAAAATCGTCTTGCTCTCCTGGGCCGGTCAATACTCTCCTTGTTGTAGCCTTGATTATCCATTTGTAAAGCTTTTTATTCTATCCCTTGAATCATCTGTCTTTCCATCTCTTTGAAAAGAATCTTATGTCACTCCCTTCCACAAGAAAGGTGGAAAGTCTATACAAAATTAAAGGGCATTTTAAAACTGTCTGCTATACTTAAATTATTTGAAAAAATAATTACTTCGAATTTGCAGCATTTCTGCAAATTAGTTGTTTCCCCTGTTCAACATAGATTCGTAGAGAATCGGCCAACTACGACCAATCTTATTCCATGATAAATGATGCTTTTCTTTCGAAAATGCAAACTAAGTTCGTTTATCCTGACTTAAGTAAGGCGTTTAACTCTGTGCAACATGACTTTTACCAAATAGGTTTCACTCCGTCTCATTTGCTTTGGGTTAGTTCTTATTTCAAAGAGTAATGCTGAGGCTGAGTACCTCTAAACAGGTTCACGCTACTTCTGGTGTTCATCGAGGTAGTGTTCTTAGACCTTTACTCTTTACTCTATTTATAAATGATTTCTCCTTTTGTATATCACTGGCCTGTGCATTCAAGACGCCTACATGACGATTTAAACGCTATGGAACTTTAATGTTCGGCCAATCAATTGCATCGGAATTGTTCAAAGTGTGTCTGGTTACGCAGCCAAAACAACTGGAGCGACCTCGCAACTGATAAGAGCAGCATCTTAATTTTATCTTATAATACTCGCTCTGCAAAGCAAGTGCCTAAATTTCGCTCTTAAAAATTCATTAACATAGAGCTGCCGCTCTTCGCTGTAACGATCGTTTTATTGCCCTAGCTTTACTTATGCGAAGGCCTCGATGCTGCGCATCGAGTTAGTTAAGTTCGTTCGCTTCATGCATTTGGTACGCATCGGCCACTTGCATTACTCAAAATTATAACTAATAATTGTCTCTTCGCTAAAATTGGCACGTACCAATTCGGGTTCGCTTGCCTATATATAAACTATTGTTCTTAAATAATAATCACAGACCAATTCGGGTCTGCCTGCTTCTCGTAACTTTAAGAAATATTAAACAATTTTGAACACAAAAAATAAATAGTTAATTATTTCTATTTGTGAAAGCTATTGAAAAAGCTCAATAGCGCAACATTTGGTAACCCCGACGTGATCTTTATTTTTGTTGTTGTAAGATTATTTGATTTACGTTAAAGCAATAATCTTAAAAGGCACCACCTGGCATTTCGTTTTGTGCACTTTATATACATACATACTTATCGCCGTCGCTTTGCCTACTCTCTCGGTCGCTTAAAGTCTCTGCTCATTCGTGCGGTACTTATGTAAAAGCTATTGCCGTTGCTTCATTACATAGCTTGACACTTGCGTTCGCCAAAGTTCTTATTGTACAACTATAGTTTTTTGAATGGTTTGCATGTACTAGCCATCACCGTTGTTAGTTACTCAGCTAGCTTCGCAAGCGCTTTCTATCACGCTTCTTATGGCAACCGAAAATAATGCCTCTAGTGCAGTGCCCTCTGCAAACAGGGTGACCTTTCTGAAGCACAAAGCCATTTTAATTTATGACAGTTTGCAAACACTTCGAAATGCTCTAACTAATTCGCCACTTAGTGCAATTGATGAGTGCAGTCTTAGTGTTAGGCTGAAGCAAATCGAGCGGCTTCAGACCTCATTTGATATTACTCACACTAGCCTCGAAGAACTAGACTTTATTGAAATCGGTAACCAATTGCGTGAGGACTTCGACGAGTTAGCAGTTTCTATGGAAATTTCGGTTCGGAGTGAAATTGCGAAACGTGTCTCAATATTGCCCTGCTCAACTTTTCGCGACCAATCTGTGCTGCCCTCGCAGACAGTTAGAGCTAAGGCACCGCCAACACTACCCTCAATAAAGTTGCCTACGTTCAGTGGTGGTTACACAGAATGGGCCGACTTTTATTCTATGTTCACAACCGTCATAGAAAGTCATCCTGATCTAGTAGATATCGAAAAGCTGCAGCATGTTCGATCGCGCCTGAAGGATACAGCGCTGGACGCGATTCGAAATAACAAACGATAATTATGCCATAGCACTTAATTTATTGGAGAAAAGGTTTAATAATAGACGTTTGGTTTTTCAGGCACACATACTTGAGATATTGGGGCTCAAGAGGGTGGCAGGTGGATCGGCCGTGTCGCTAAGGGAGTTATCCGACCAATTCAACG